AAGTCGAAGACGGTTCATGTGCTAGTTAGGGTTTGTGGCACGCGCTGGCCTAATGCCCAACCCACCCCAGCGCGACCCGACCGTGCAACTCGCCGATCGGGGATTGGCTTCCGTTTAAATCTGCTGGGGCTACAAACCCTTGAAGCAAGGGCCGCTGACATACACGGACGCCTCTGTGAGCAGAAGACATGTGCACCCTTCAGCGCAGACCACAGACCTCCCGGACTAACCGCCTGACCCGGGAAAAACAGAAGCGGAAACAGCCTGATTCAGGCGCGGGATGGGGTACGGCAGGGCGCAGTTCACAGAGGGAAATCGCATCTTGTCTTGTCCGAGCTGACCATCGCTTCCCCGACCCCAGGTGTAGAGCTGACCGGGCTGCGCAGCGTAGAAGCACCTCGGAGGCTATATACATACATATTGCATATATATATATATATGTATGTACGTACGTATGTCTGTATACACATACGTTCATACTATACAAACATACATGTATATACAAAGGTATAGACACACAGCTTTAAAGCTTTAGGTGGCTTCCGACGCCAAGAACTATGTCGATGCGCAGGAGGTGCACTTCCCAAACCTCAAACACTGTCTGTCTGCCTACCTGCCTACGTGCAGCCTCGACACGAGACCGCAGAAAGAGGCGCAGCTGGCAGATCGGCAGCATCTTCTGTCTCTGCACCTGCCTCAGGTGGTGCGGGTTCCGTGGAGCTGGGCTCCGCCGGTGCCTCTGCCGCTGCCGGCTCTGGATCTGCGGACGGGGCAGCTGGCGGCTCCGGGAAATCTGGTTCGTGCAGTGGCTCTGCTTCTGCCACTTCGGTGGCTTCGGCGTGCCCGTCCTGTGAGTCCTGTGCTGCGGATGGCTCGGGTGGAGAAGGCGCCGCCGTCTCGGCGAGGACCTTGTCCGTATGCTCAGCACCGGAGAAGACCCATTCCAGAAACTCATCGACATCCACCTGGCCGTCCTTGTTCTTATCCACGATTTGAACCACTGTCTCCACATCCTCGGGCGACATCTGATCGCACAGCGTTGCGAGGCTCTCCTTGAACTCGGCGCCGGTGACCAGACCGTCATCGTTCAGATCCCACTCCGAAAAGATCCATTTCACCTGTTCTTTCACAGGAGTCTCCACCTTGGCAGCAGAGTCGACGGCGACATCGGAGACGGCCGTGGCCAAGGCAGCTCCCGTGTGACGCTTGTACGTATCCTCGATGATTTTGCGAAGCATCGCTTGCCTCACCCGCAATCTCACACTCACATGCGAGGCTCCGATCACTTAAGGACCGTTCCGGCTGCCGGCTAAACGTTCGGCACAATCAATGGCGTTCTTTACTACCGACATGTGTCAGCGTGCCATGGTGAGCACCTCGATGGTCCTCTCTGCAAGTGAAGCCAAGGTAACATTGGTAGTGCGGTCCCAAGGTGCTCCACCATGGATTTATTGAGATCGTGCTTGTCCTCGACGTCCACACCGCACACCATAGACGTGTCCTGCAACCACGGGGCCCTGGAACTCCCGGCCATGCTGTACGTTCTAAACAGAGGACTAGACTACTATACCCGGCGCCATCGTAGTAAGCTCCCTTTCCAAACCGAGCTTGAGACGACCCAGCTGTCCAGCGCCGATCGCAAGGCCCGCTTCTGTGCAGCTGCATCCTTGTGCCGAAGCAGGGTCCAACGGAACACTGACCCTGAGAGGCAAATCCATAAACTCCCAGGTACACGCACCTGATACGCACGTTGGAGGACGGTTCTGCAGGGATTTCAGAGGCCCCTTGAGGTGCAGCCTTGTACACTCGTCTTTCTCCGGGGTCCAGACCGGATCAGCGCTTGGCACAACCAGTGTGACTGCTCGCCCAGTCCTCGCACGGCCCGGAGCTTGAACTCAGGTGTCTTCGCCCTGTGAAACTTTCCCAACTTCGTCGACCGCTTGATTCGGGCTTCACGGTAAACTGCGCAGAACTCGCGAGGGCGACCTGAACCCCGAATACAGCCTCACAAAGCCGACTCGGCGCAGCTGTCGGAATCCGATTGCATCCGATGCAGTGGCTTCGGAGTTCAAGCAAGATTTCTTCAACCCAACACTTCCAGTCCACGACGATTCGATTGCAGTGATGGTTGAATCTAGACTTCCACCCTGGCCCTCCCACGTCATGTCAGAGACCGGCGCACAGCCATTGCCGCCGGCCAACAGCACCAAAGGCCCAAGGAAGGTCCCAGTCGTCGCTAGGGTGACAGCCTGAACTCAGCTTGAGCAGACGAGCCTAGACCCGGCTTGCACATGCTACACATGTTTAGGTTCCGTTGTGAACTTTTCCACGATTACAGGACTGACCGGCACCTACTGGTATGGCTTCACAGCATGGGTTAGCCATGGAATCCACAGGACGAATAGGACGACGCACGACACGGCAACAAATGCAAGTTGAGGGGAACTCGGACTCTGTTCGCCTCTCGCCTGGCTAGGACGACGCTACGGTTTGTGGCAATGTCGCCACGCGTAAATTGTTGTAGCAGAGCTTTGATAAGGCTCGATGATTGATTAGTGCTATGAGGGGCTTCAGCAAAGCCCGGAGTCACAAGGCAATGACTCTCAAAGGCAGGCTTCCGCCTGTCTTCGCGAGGCTGCTGACAGTTCACAACATGCACAGAAAGCACGTCAGTCAAGGTCAAATTTCCGACACCTCCAGACAAGCTCTATGATGAAGGGTGTCAGAAAGCAGCCTTCCCCACGCCGGCCGAATGAGCAACAACAATATCCTTGGATGGTGACTTCTACCAGTTCTCCGCACTGTATGAACGTACGGGTGTACATGTTCTACATGTTCATCGTTAGAGTTATTGTATATATGTATTATATGTATAATATATATATATAATATATATAGAGAGAGAGAGAGAGCAATATTTTATGTACATGTGTATGTCTCTCTATCTCTGTGTGTGTGTGTGCGCGTCTGTATATACTCACACCTACATACTATGAGAAATCTGACGCGGTCGGGGATCCCGACATCTTTCAACTGGGCCAAGCTCGGGAGGCACTGGAAACGGAACCCAACGGATACCACCCTTCCTCCCTGGCAAGGAGCCGGCTTGAAGCTGTTGCATTCTTTGGCCAGCGCTTCTTTCCTTCGCTGACATAAAACCGACTACGAACAACTGACGAGATGTCATCAAGATCCAAAAACACGGGACACAAAATGTCGTATGTGAACTCCCGGTCTTCGCCAAAACTAAACTATGGCTCTGGTCTTCTGCAACGAATGTGCAATGAAGCCACGGGGTTTTGAATGTGCACATGAAGCAGTCACGCTCAGAGATCTCGGGCGACCCTGCATTTGCGGCCAACTGATGTCTGACGATTTGACAACCAGTCTGAGCAAAGATTGGACATGTCCGAATAAAGCTTGCTACAGCATCCAAAGCAGGATGGGACCGGCAGAATTGGTGCCGCGGCGAGAAACTCCAACTATGAGCACTGCTGCATGCGCTCGCTGCCGACAAGCTTCGTCGCAGAGTAGCTGGCATGCTTGACAGACGGGATGGTCACGTGCCGGAAATGTTGTCGCATGTAGGAGGGCTTCGCACCTCTGGGCGGTTTGTGGCGTGACATCTCGGTCAGGTGAACGACGTGGAGAGCTCTGCACAAAGGCATTGTGCCTTCTGCTAGGCATATCCCGACAGGCAATGGAGTAACCCAGCTCGAAACTCTTGTGGATTCTCTAGATCATAGATGCCGCGCTCCTCGAACCTCCACGACTTCCAATTAATGCAATTGCTGAGCAGCCAGTGACATTGCTACCCAACCTTGGCTGTGAAGTCTGTCCTGCTTCGATAGATGCTGAGCAAGGCCGCTTGCACCGAATCCGATGCAGCAGGCGACGTCAAGTTTCATGGCCTCACCCCGGAGCCATCTATCTGCTGTGCCGCACTGTAGTTCCAAGCCACACACACCCACCACAAATGCATGTTTGGGCTAGCATCTCCAGAATCGCATTACAATGGCCGCCGAAGCAGGTGGGACAAACAAAAGTTCAACTTCAACTCTCTCAGAAGGGCTGTGCAAGTCCAACAACTCTTCTTCAGCCCAGCATTCTTCAGCCCAGCACGCGCTTGCAGATGCTTGCATTCAGAGCACCCCTGCAGTAACTGCACAAATTATAATGCTTACAACTCGAAATTAAGCGGGTGACGTCGCGGCTAATTTCCGCAGCGGTCGCTATTTAATTTCGAATCGCTGGTGGGTAAGAGTAGTAGCAGTCGTGGTAGTAGTAGTTGTCTTCGTCGTCGTATAAGCGGTAGTGGTAGCAGCAGCGGAAGCAGCAGTAGTAGTCGTCGTCGTCGTAATAGGAGTAGAAGCGGTAGCAGTAGTAGAAGTAGTAGTAGTAGTAGTAGTAGTAGCAGTAGTAGTAGTAGTAGTAGTATAGGTATAGTAGTAGGAGTAGGAGGAGGAGGAGTAGGAGTAGGAGTAGGAGTAGGAGTAGGAGTAGGAGTAGGAGTAGGAGTAGGAGTAGGAGTACAGTA